AGCAGAAGAAACTAGTTTGTGTAGGTCCGCATGTATGCGGCCCCGGAAGGCGGGTTGCCCGTTAGCTTAAGCTGCTGGCTACCCGGCGCGTCCACAAGTGGCAGATAGTGGAACAGCCTTCAGTGAAGATTAGCTGCGAAATAAGCAAACGCTCAGGTCTGACGAATAAGTAGTCGCGTACCAGCAGCGGCAGTGCTACCAGGGAGCAACGGGCTGAGGTTTGGCACGCAAAAAGTGTACAAAGTGTCGCAAAGCCCGACGAAGGCACTGTGACATGGCGACCGTGAACCGCCATTAAATAAGTTCGCTTTCCACTGCTTCCTCGTAGTTAGGCTATTGAGCTAAAGCGCTAGAGAATGCAGACTCGAACAAGCAATTCAAGCAACTGTTGGGGACCCGCCCGTACTCACAAGTCCAAACACATCTCACCTCACTAGCTAATTTGTGCGGAAATGGTGTCACGATCAGTACATATAAACCTGGTCAAATGGTCAATGGATCTGATATGTATGGCCCAGTACTTCTACTTTGTCGTATCTCCTTTATGGGAGACGAATAGTAAATGGACGTTTTCAAAATCTCCAGAAATTATTATAAATCGTTACACCTACTATAGTAGCTCGAGGAGTCAGGGCGCCGGAGTGGCAAAAGGGGATTTGGTCATTTCAACGAAAATGATGTCCTCTACGGGCACTTAGTTGCTACTTCGTGTCACACAGCCTCCCCGTTCAATCAGGCTACCCTTATTAAATAAGTTTGCAGGGTTTTGGAGTGTCGCAAACGTTTGAAACCTGTTCAATATAGTAGTTTGTGGGCCACAGTTGACAGTCTGTCAGTAATGGCAGAAGGAATCGTCGTTGGGAGGGGGAAGGGATTATTGCGAGCGGTCAGGACAGACGAACGGAGGGTTCTTGGGCCGATTCAGTTACTGTGGTGCCATTAGGCGAATATGAGTATTCGCTCAATTACCTCGTTAACTCGTGACTTTGAGTACGGTCATTTGTTACCGGTCTCTTCGAAATGGACAGTAAAGTGAGGTTAGAGGTACCTAGAGTACCGATTGTGTCTAGATATTACAACCTTGCGGCACGAGATATTTTGGGCACGGATAAGAAATACACTTTCAGGTATGGGTGAAAGGCAGCATGGCTGGAAACACATACCTTGGAAGTTTCGAATTAATTGGGATGGAATTAGTCTGGATGGGTATATTATCAATATTTTGACAGCGGGTCAGCAAATTCTTTGGGCGATGCTGACAGGACTGAGTCCAGTCATCGGATATCCATTCTTTCACTATCGTCACTTTCAGAACAAGCCAAAAGCGACCAAAACGGTGGTTGCTTTAAGAGTTTTCCGGATCAGTCTGGCCACTAGAGATCAGTGGTAATAATCACCAAGTCACTACCCGACACTTATTGTGTCCGGGCACATCGCAGAATGCCTCCCCTAAGCGATACTTTCGTTTTCAGCAGTTCCATGCTTTCA